CCAGGACGGCTTGCTGAGTCCACCAGCCCAGCTACCGTCTGGAGCTGAGGAAGAAACAGGCCAAGTATACACTTGACCCCAAGAGATCACAGATAATTACACAGAGGCAACGTGCTGCAGAGGCCTGGGGCACCACCCAGGAAGGCTGGGGGCCAACTCACTCGGGATACGGAGTCCTGCATGGGAACAGAAGTTTCGGAGAGTTTTGACAAAGAGAGGTTAAAAAGGTCACCTGGGTGTGGTATAGGGAAGGAACTGCATGGGAAGGAGGCTGCTGCAGGTGTCTGGGGCAGAGGGGGGCAGCCCGACCTGTGGAGGTAGCAATAGGCAGGGGAAGGGAGTGGAAGAGAGGTCTGGGGTGACGGGTTGAACACTCAGTCGATGTGAGGACAGACCTGGAGAGGCAAGAGGGAGACCCTGGCCATCCCGACTACTTGGACGGGGAGATGGGCAGGTCAGATTCAGGGGCACAATGACAGCAGACAGGCTCCCCATGGTCATCTGAGTGGCATCCAGCAGGCTTGGGCTGGACCACTGACAGAGCCCAGAGGACAGGCTGCGCTCATAGGAGAACGGGATCAGCAGGAGAGGGACCAGGAGCCATGGCTGGGGAGGAAAGGGTATAGGTCCAGGTCCTGAGGAACAGGAAGAGCAAGTGGCCCAAGGAGAGGCGGGTGACCTGCAGAGAGGTCTTTAGGGTGGCCAGAGGACACGGAGGCCCAGGGGACGAGTGCCTGGGAGCAGGCACCATGAACACCAGGAGGGCCATCGATGTCCACAGGCACCTGAAGACAATTTCGCAGGAGTGAAGAGGGCGCACCAGATTGGAGTGGGCTGGGAGCGAGTGGGAAGTGAGGATATGGAGTGAGCCAGCAGGGAACACGGCTTCAGAGTCAGCCTACTTGCAGGGGAGGAGAGAAGGGGGAAAATAGCTGGGGCGGGGTGGGGGCACAGCAGACAGCAGTTTGTTGTATTTAAGCTGAAAAAGCTTTATGAAAGCAAGGCACCTGGGCGGCTCCGTGAGCTAAGCCGCTGAGCGTCAGACTCCTGATCTGGGCTCAGGTCGTGATCTCAGGGTCTCAGGGTCATGGGGCGGAGCTCCAGGTAGGGCTCCACACTCGGCGTGGAGTCTGCTCAAGATTCTCTCTCTCCCTCTCCCTCTGCCTTTCCCCTGCTTATGTGCTCGCTCTCTCTCTCTCTCTCAATGGATAAATAAAATCTTTTTTTTTAATTTTAGAAAGAAAATCATATCAACTTTGAAGACATCACCTGTCAACAGCAACACCTCCCCTGTGAGGAAGCGACAGGAGAGCTGGACAATGGAATGAAGTGTCCCCTGAGTGCCTAATGTCGCGCCTGCAGGGCTGGTTCCCTGCCTCAGGGGGCTCACAGTGTGTGGCCCATGGGCAAAATGGGGTGTTCTCCTCTAAAGAGTCAGGGACACTTGGTGAGGCCCAGTGCCAGGCCTCTCCTTGAGCTGATATTGGCCCCCAGCTCCCTGAACTCACCCTGCTGCTCAGAAGGGACATGGCAGGCTCTGAGCTCCCACCACCAACCACCACGCAGGGCAGCCCCGGCCTGCAGCCTGTCCGCCCAGACCCAGTACAGGTGCATGACCATGATAGGGTGAGGGGCTCTTTTCTCTGTGCTATGTCCACATCCCACCCCTCCCCCCACCCGCAGGAATCCTGAGACGCTTCCCCAGCAAGTAAGTGAGGTGGGTAGAAGCTTCCCCAGACAGGATCATCGGGAGATGCCCTGAACCATATTCAAAGGCACCTACATGGTTCTTCAGAAATGCTTCTGCAGAGCAGAGCGTTCAGACACCTGAGGCCAGGCTGCGGTGGCCCCTGGAGCAGGGTCAGTGGCAGGCAACAGTCATACCGCCCCCACCTTGGCAGGCATCTGTGTGGTTCCTAACACTTTCATACTGTCAGCCAGACGCCTCTCCCAAGCCTCTCTGAAGCCCGTCCCAGGAGGTGAATCCCCAGGGTCCTCCATTCCCAGGGATGAGCCCTGCTCCTCCGTACCTCATCTTTGTCCCTCCCATGCTCTGGACAGGCCAGGACATAACGGGGCTTTCAGGCTTTCCTTTCCACATTTCCTGCCATGCCACTCCAGGCTGCCTTTGGCTGACCTTCCCAATCCCTGCTCCAGGGTAGTCAGATTAGGGCTGCCTGGTGTCCCCACTCTGGGGACATTCTGAAGGGATCCGTAGCCCACTCTGTGCCAGCCAGGCATCCCCTGTGTTCATTCTCTGACACGTAAACACACAGCCCCAAAGCCTCAGGTTCTGTGCCCAGGAAGAGGTGGGAAGGACACATACTCTGAAGAAAGGGCAGAGCATCCTCCCCAGAGCCCTGCAGGCCAGGGGGCTTTGCCTGGCATGTGGCCGGTGGGTGTCAGGGGCCCTCCCCTCACGGCCATGGCCTGGCAGCCTCCCCACCTGATGCCACTTCGGCACCCCGAGATGATAGGCCTCCCTCCCTCCCACCCTGCTCCCTCCTCAGATTCTGCCTGGAAGACAGGTTGCTAAGTAAACACTCATCTGCAGGAGGGAGGTGGGCAAGCGAGGGCAAAGGAACCGAGAGGCAGCCTGGAACGGGTGGGAGTTACTGCAGGCAGATTTCGGCTCAACATTTGGAAGCTCTGAGAGAAAAACAGCCAGAGCAGACCAGGCCTGAAGCAGATGGCCTCAGGAGGGAAGGTGGGAGGGAAGAGCGGTCCCAGCGGGGGGCCGCCTGGGGCTGTGGCTCTGCACCAGCAGCAGCACCGCTAGCATCACCTGGACAGGCCCCGATCTGCCTCCCCAGCCCTCTCTGCCACCAGGGCCCTGGGACCTGCCCCCAGCCCACCCTGCTGGGGAGGCCTGGAGCCCCTCTTCCACGGTAGGATGATACAGACGTGCGTATCCTACACCCCCACTTCTGAGGACTGTGGTTGGATGCCCTGACACCTGAGCCTCACTTGGCCTCATTGACAAATCTGGCTTCTGTATGGCTTAAGAAGAGGGTTCTGTGGTTAAAAACCAGAAATCAACAAGAGCTATTCCAATACTGCCCAGGAGACAGGTGTACTCGGGGGCTCTAAGGCCATACCTGAGCATCCCCGCCCCCCACTAGTCTCCTCTGAAGGACCCAGGGGATGGATGAGTGGGTCTGTTCCTCCCCAGGTCAGCCTAAGGGAGCCCATTGTGCCAGGACACCCTCCCCACTTGGCCAGACCCACAAGCCCCCCGCCTCACTCAGGACAGCCCAGCGCAGATGCCAAACACAGAGCACTGGTGTTTCTCCCCCACCCTCCTCCTCTGCCTGCAGTTGCTAAGTTACACCAAAAAACCCTCTGCTCTATGTGAACTGTTCCATTTCCACAATTTGCCAGGTGGAAGGGAGCCATCAGGCTGGCAGTTCAAGGATGCCTCCCAGAGAAAAACAAACTTGCTGGCTGGCTTTCAGGCCCCTGTAGCATACCTGGGGCCACCTGCTTTGGGTGCTCCCAAATCCAGGAGCCATGTGTGAGAGTACACAGCTGTGCTGGGAGGCTGTCAGCATGTGGGTCTCTACTGCTCATTCCCTTCTCAGGGTCAAGGGCTGTGGGTTCCACTGTCATGCTTTACCCAGCCATGACCACCCAGAGGGGTGCTGGTCACTATGACCCGTGTCTCTAACAACAAATAAAAGCTAGAGGGACACAGAACCCATGCACGCGTCCGGAGCCAAGGTTTTCCACTCGCTCCCACTCTGGATGCCCCCCTCCTATTCTGGGCTGGGGTCCTGAGGTTCAATGCAAAGTGTCCCCGGATGTCAGGGCGGAAATATCCCTAAAAGTCACCGAAACCATTTACAGATGGGGAAGCTGAGTCCCTGAGAGGCCCCCAGCCTGCCCACAGCTCAAAAGTCAAGACCTGTGGGCTCCTAACTCCCTAGCTCCCTGCTCATAACAGGAGCTGCTGCTTTGCACTCTAGGCCTCCTACTTGGGAGGGAAGGCCTGGACCCAATCTAGGCTGCACTGGGCAAGACTGTGTCCAGAAGCAGGTGGAAGATCCCTGAGGGGCAGAGCAGAGCACTGCCTCTTTGAGGTTCCCCTGAATGCCAACCTATCTCCTGGGCTTCTAGAGCAGGTGGCCATCTGGCCCCTGCCCTGGCTCCAGAGGGTGGGAGAAGAACCATAGCAGTGGGGAGGGTAAACCAGATGGGGCTCACAGCTCCAAGCAGGGAACCAGGGTTCCCAGCCACCACCACATCTCAGCCCCCAGGTGGCTCCCAAGAGGCAGGCAGCCTCCCTGTAAATATCCACCAGCTCCTGCGCTCAGAAGCAGCTAGAGATGCAGGGGGCAAGGGCCTGCTGCCTGTCCTCCCCAGACAGCAGTAGCCCGCTCCCCGCTCACACGGGCGCAGCCCAGAACCAGCTGCACCTGCGAGACATGGGGCAAAGAGAGCACGGTCCTTGAAATGACCCTTGCCCACAGTGCAGAGAGGGGCATCTCGCCCTGGCCGTCTCCCTTCAAATGCTGAGCTCACGCCCCACTTCTTCGCCACACAGCAAGGGCGTGAGATGCCACCGCGGGGCCCAGAATGCAGAGAAGCAAATGGAAACTTCCAACTGCGCAGCCCCGAGCTCCTCAGATTTCCCAGCCCCCTCCCCCACGCCAGGCCCGGGGCAGCGGACCTGCCAGCCGGTGCCCACGCCCGCCCGCCGAGGGCACTCCCGCCACGCCCAGGCAGAGATCGCCTGCTGCCCCGCGGGCGCTGGGGATCGGGGGTCCTGGCGCTGTCCAGCCCGGGGTGGAGTTCTCGGCAACTCCGCGCTGGGCTCCCGCACGCCCTCCTCCACGCGCGTCCCACGGCCAGTGCCGGGAGCGGATGCCCCGGCCCCGCGACGGTCACGCCGGGCGGGACCCAGGACCCGCGTATGCCCCGCCCGCGCTGGCGACAGGAGGGGACGGCCCGCGGGAGAGAGGGAGGGACCGAGGAACTGAGGATCGGCGCCCGCTGCCTACCTCGGTCCGGGCCGGCGTAGCTCCCGCGCAGCCCTCGCGCCGCAGTCGGGCCCCGAGCAGCGCGCGGCCCGCGCCGGCGGCGGCTCATGCTCGGCGCCCGGGCCCGCGGCACCCGCCCACCCGCGGCCGCCCCCGCGCTGCGCCAGCTGCGGGCAGAGCGGCTCCCTCCGCAGCCGGCGCCGGGGAGCGCGAGCGAGCGAGCGCGGAGCGAGCACGGAGCGGGCACGGAGCGGGCACGGAGCGGGCACGGAACGGGCACGGAGCGGGCGGGCGCGAGAGCGCAGGGAGCGGGCGAGCGCGGGGCGAGGGTGCGGGGCGGGCGCAGGCAGAGGGCGGGCGCGGGGCGGGCGCGGGGCGGGCGCGTGGAGACAGAAAGTGCAGGACGAAGGTGGAAGGAGAGGTAAAGCGCGTGGCCCGGGCGCAGGGCGCAGGGCGCAGGACGGGATGGGGGTAGGAGGCATAGAGTGTGCAGGGAGAAAGCGAGCCAGCCTTCATTTAAAAAAGGATAATTCAGTAAACCACCCCAAAGGTGATGTGGCCACCTCATGTGAAAGAACCTTTGGGGACTCCCTAGAGCTGCCCAAATGTTGGCTTCTGAAACCGCTCCCGTGGGCAACTCCTGGTCCCTTCGATTATTCCCTTTAACCGTCACAACCACCCTATGGGTTGGTGTTGGTTTTGTTCCCATTGCACAGATGAGTAAACTGATGGTAGGGAAATGAAATGACCCCACAGGATCAGGCAGGCAAATCAAGATTCAAAAACCACCCTGAGTCCCCATTCAAAAGGGGATGATTCAAAAACCATCCATAGTCCCCATTTCTCCAAAACCATCATTCTCCAAAACCATCATGAGGAGGATGTGGGTTCCAAGTCTTCTGGCTCCCAGTGAAGCTTCCTGTTCTCTGAGCAGGCATCCTTGTTCTCTGATCACAAGTTCAGGGGTCAGGAGTGACCCTTACAGACACAAACTCAAGTGAATGTGGAACAGGTCTAGGGCCAGGAAGCTTACAGGATAAAGAGGTCTGGGTGGAAGAAAGGGGAAGTACTCCATTGACATCGCCCACTCCTGCCTTGGAGAGGCTGAGGGCATTTCTTACTCATTCATTCAGTACCTATTTATTAAGTGCCTATTGTATGCTGGGTGCCATGCTGGGCACTGGGAAACAGGGGTGAATCCCCCTCTCTGGCTGAAGTTTGCATTCTTGCGGGAAGCAGGCAGTAAATGACAAGTACAAGAAAATATTTCATATGTCAGATGATGCAGACGTTTTGGAGAAAAGCACAGTGGAGAGAGGGTATAGGGAGTCCAGTTTGTGAAGTTATTTTATTTTGGCAGGTCAGGGAAGTCTTTGCTGAAGAGGTAACATCTGAGCCAAGACCCTACTGAAGCAAGCCATGCTGAATCCGAAGAATGGACACTTGGGGCATAGGGTGCAAAGGCCATGATGTGAGAATGTGCGTGGGGTGTGTGCAAGTGATAATGAGGGGACAGAGTGGTGTGCAAATGAGTGGTGTGTGTGGTAGAGAATGAGATTCCGTACCCAGGTGACCAGATCAAGGAGAGCCTGGTTGGCCATTGGCCCATGGTGGGTTTGACTCAATGCCAAGCTGGTAGAGGGTTTTGCAGAGTAATGTTATGGTCTGACTTTTTTTTTTTTTCCTTAAGATTTTATTTATTTGACAGAGAGAGAGAAAGAGAGAGAGAGACAGCAAGAGAGGGAACACAAGCATGGGGAGTGGGAAAGGAAGAAGCAGGCTTCCTGTCTAGCAAGGAGCCTGATGCAGGTAGGATCCCAGGACCCCAGGATCATGACCTGAGCTGAAGGCAGATGCTTAATGACTGAGCTGCCCAGGCACCCCCACCCCCACCCCCATCTGACTTTTCTTGACAAAAACATTTTATTTTGAAAAATTTCAAACATTTACAAAAATGGAAGCTAAGAAGGTGGTAAGCCCAATGGCCCAGCATCAACAATTATCAAAATGTGGCCAATTTTGTTTCACCAGTACCCCCATCCACCACTGTATTTTTTCAAGTGAGCATTTGTTATTAAGTGAACACTTATAACTTTTTAAAGCATAATATACATAAATGATAGCATACAAATTGTAAATTTGTGCTCAATTGATTTTCAGTGAGAATATTAATAACCATCTGTACCTTGATTTTCATTATGGGAAGGTTTTAAATTAGATTCATTTTCTTTAATATATCCAGGGCCTTGCAGATTATCTAATTCTTCTGATGTCACTTTTGATAAATTGTGTTTTTGGAATATCTTTAATTTGGCTAAATTTTCAGATTTACTAACAAGTTGTTCATAACATCCTCATATTAGCCCACAGATGTGTGCAGAATATGTAGTGATGTCCCACATTTCATTCTGATATTGGGAATCTTTGTTTTCCCTTTCTTTTCTTGATCAGTCCTGCTAGGGTTTTGTCAATTTTACCATATTTTTCAAAGAAAACTTTTGCCTTTGTTGAGTTTTCTCTTTTGTGCCTTCTATTTCATTTGATGTCTACCGTTTGTTTTATTATGTCTGTATTTCTGCTTTGGGGAAGATATTACTGTTTTGTTTTGTTTTTCAGTTTCTTAAGTTGGAAGCTAGGCTCGTTGGTTTTCAGCCTTCTTTTCTTTTTTTTTAAAGATTTTATTTATTTATTTGACAGACAGAAATCACAAGTAGGCAGAGAAGCAGGCAGGGGGAGCGGGAGAAGCAGGTTCCCTGCTGAGCAGAGAGCCCAATGCGGGGCTCAATCCCAGGACCCTGAGATTGTGACCTGAGCCAAAGGCAGAGGCTTTAACCCACTGAGCCACCTAGGCACCCCTCAGCCTTCTTTTCTACTATATACATTTAAAGCTATACATTCCAAGCACTGCTTTACTGTCTCTCACAAGTCTTAAGTTTTTTATTATAAGTTAGCTCAAGATATTTTTTAATATATTTGAGAGAGAAGGAGTGAGAGAGCACAAACAGGGGGAGGGACAGAGGGAGAAGCAGACCTCTCATTGAGCCTGGAGCCCCATGCGGGGCTTGATCCCAGGACCCTGAGATCATGCCCTGAGCCAAAGACAGTTGCTTAACCAACTGACCCACCCAGGAGCCCCTTAGTTTCCTTTTGGATCCATAAATTATTTGGAAGGGTATTAGTTAGTTTCCAAATACTAGGAGGTTTTCTAGTTATCTTCCTATTACTGAGTCCAGTTCAGTTATACAATAGTCAGAGGATGAACTCTGAATGATTTCAATTCTCTGAAATCTACTCATACATTTATGGCCCAGAATATGTTCTATTTTGGTAAATGTCCATATGCCCTTGAAAAGAATGAATATTCTGCATAAATCAGTTAGGTCAGGTTGGTTAATCAGGTCCAAATCCATATTGCTACTAAATGTAATTCATATTCTGTTAGTTCTTGAGACAAACTGGAAACAACCCAGAAGACCTTCAGTGAGTGAATGAGTAAACAAATCGTAGCAGAGCCATACAATGGAATACCACTCAGCAACATGAAAGAAATGAAAGAAAACAGACTCAAAACAATTCAAACTATAATTCCATTTATATGACTTCTTGAAAAGGCAAAATTGTACAGGTGGAGAACAGATTGGCGGTCCGTAGGGGTTGGTGGGATGGAGGAGTAGGAAGGATAGACTACAGCGTAGGGAAATTTTGAGGGACCATGGAAGTGTATCTGTGTCTTCATTTGGTCCCATGACTATCCACTTGCCAAGACCCAAAATAACTGTACACCTAATAGAGTGAATTTTACTGTCTGTAAATTAGAAAGTAATTTTAATCTCCAGTATAATTAGAAGCTTCTTGTGGCTACCCTGTCATCTCTTTTTTTGTTCAGATGTTGTCCACAAGTTTTCGGTTTTCCCCTCCTTTTCACTGTATCTATTATTATGGAGGGAATCAGGATGACTTATTGCTGCCAGTGAATATAGCATTGCCACTGCACAGAATGAAGAAGTCTGTAGGGTGCACAGGGGAATTGGAGGGAGCAGTTAAAGGCTGTTCTGATAGTCAGATGATGAATGATGGTTGCTTAGAACAGGGTAGTCATGCTCATGAAGATAAGAAGTGTTTGCAACTTGACATGTTCTGCAGATAAAACCAAAAGTACTTGAGTCAGAGAAAAAGAGAAAAGCCAGCAGTCCTTTGGCCCCAGGCAGTCTTGCTGTCCATGCTCCGGAGCACATCCCAAGGAGCACCTACATAGTTGGACACTGGTAGTTCTCTGAGTGTTGTTTTATTTGGGCTGGCTTTGGGGTAGAGGGATTTCTGCAGGTTATGGGAACTAAAACACATACACCCCATGACAATTCAGCCACCCACTGTTTCTGCTGCACCCAGACATTTTCTTGCCTCAAATGTGTTCTCCTTCAAGACTTCTCATCACAAGGATTGCACTGGCTTATACCTTTTTACTTCCATGGAGCCCAGTTCAATGACTAGGTCCTCTAGACCTCTGATTCTCCATCCAAACCAGTTCTTCCCAGGATTTCAGTTTTCTCCCTCCTGACTTCACTTGCCTTCCTTTTTAGCTTTGTTTCCATAAAACGGGTTTTCAATTGTTCCCTTGGCAATACACTGGATTTTCTTGCTTCTTTTACCTTTTATCTCCCACCTGGCAAAACTCCAGTGACAGATAAATCCAACTCTGCCTTCTCCAGATGTCCCCTCAGGTATCTAAATGCTGCTAGAAGCAATCACACAGCCCTGCTATCACTCTAAATTCACTATAAATTCATCAATGGAACTGAGAACTCAACACTACTCTGTCTCCCTCCTATAGTTCTTTATTTCCTTTTCTTTTAAAAGACTTATTTATTTATTAGAGAGAGAGAGCATGAATGAGAAGAGGGTCAGGGGTAGAGGGAAAGAGAGAATCTTCAAGCAGTCTCCCCACTGAGTGCAGAGCCTGATGAGGGTCTCAATCCCAGGACCCTGAGATCATGACCTGAGCCAAAATCAAAGTCACATGCTTAACCAAATGAACCACCCAGGCACCCCTCTTTCCTTTTCTTAAATTGTAAAATATATGATACATACAGAAGAATGGATAAAATGTCTATGTAGTTTCAGGAATAATCACAATGAAAATATGAATGGAACCAGGACTTAGGTTGAGAAATAGGGCACTGCCAGTATATGAGAAGCCCCCTTGTGTCTTTT